CAGTCTGTACATTGTTTGGTATCTTGATACCACATAGTAACAACATGAATGCGTCGTGAACCTACCGAATGAGCTGTTACCGAAACATTGGTTTCCCCTCCAAATTATTTTACGGTAATCCATTTATTTAAGTTCGGCAGAAATACTTCATTAAAATCATTCGAGCAAACTAATTTACTTTGAGTCAAATGGGAATTTAGCAAGAACGCACATTACGTTTTTCGTCGAAAGATTTTACTGACGAAATACAATATTTAATACCGCTAATTCAATTTTTTCGTCTTTGGTTTACGATTTACGCGACTGTAACCTTTATTAGTTATTACGTCGACAAAAAACCAGTTTGGGGAGTAAAAGCGTTTACAAGGGTTGTATAATGAGAGCAATTAAAATGAGATTTGTTGGGTATGCTTTACAAAACTTTAAAGGGTATAAAGCATGTATAAACTCGTAGCACGTGCACAAAACCCACGGGAATCACAAGAAATCAAAATAACATATCATGCGTGCATTATATTAATGGTACGCGCTCTGACGATAGTTTAATATTGTATGTTTTAAATTTTCTTGTGAAAATAAATGCAATTTAATTTTGTTTATAAATCTAGTGATATCCCTGGGTGTTAAAAATTTGTTTCATCCAAAATACAATTTTCCGTCAAAGTATAAATGAATGACCGAAGACACTTTTCGAATTTTCTTGTTATTATTATGACACCTTTACCAACGGAAAGTTAAGTTCTTCTGGCGTGTATTGACTAGCTATAAACCACCCTGCACATCTTTATGTGGTTCGGTACTTAACCACAAGTTTTGGTCAACCGCAATTTTTAATTAACACATCACATATAATCCTGGGAACGAATAGAAAATTTTTCACAAAGCTGATCATTTACACACGACACAAATTTATTCGACAAAATCCATATCTTCGATTGAAACAAATTAAATTTCCAAGAAAATTCTAATTACCTTTAACAGACGCACAAAAACATCATCTGGCGTTGTTTCGATATCTTCATTTCTTTACTTACCTTGATTCTTGTTTTAAACAAACTGGCTTTGTTGTATAAATGTAATAGTGGCTTTTTGGTGGTGGATTTATCGGGACTTGATTCAAACTATTTCTCTAGCTAGTTCTGCAACACGCTGTCAGAAATTTCATTAGTGTAAGATGATACTGAAGTGCGTGGTAGTATCCAAATGAACAGTTTACCATATTAGCCGAATGGATGTTCATCGTCATCTTGAGTGACAGTTTCTCATTACCATTTTCTCCCCTCTACAGGTTCGCATAATTACATTGTATTACATACAAGTATGACGTTTCGATTTTTCAGACCATCATCAACATATTTTTTTTAAATACGTTCCTGCATTTTTTATTTTATATTTTGAAGTGTTTGTCATTTAAAAAAGTCCATTATATATACATAGTTACTAAACGATACCATTTTAACATTAAAGTAAAGTTTACACCAAACAATTAGATGGATATGATATCAAAGCATTCATGCATAACTGTTTTGAAATATTAAAGTTTCAGTTACTTTTTATTGTGGGACCTACATGGGAATTACACTGTATTAAAAAAGAGGTTTTTAAAACTTTTAAATTAAAAGTAAAAAAGGTATGTTTTATCACCCCAACAAAAACAACTGATACGAACAAGTAATCTACTTTTCACCATTGATTTAATACGTGGTTATAGGAGGCAAGATTAAACCCGTTCTTTGCTACTATTATCAACAGATTTTGAATTAAATTTAAGAAAGCATACTAATACGTTGAGAATTAGGATAGGAATAAACATATATGTGGGAGGTATCAGACCGAAAGTTTTTTTCTGTCCATCTCGTATATACTCATTTTCCATTATTATGGAGGTATGGAATTGAGGCACGTGCTACTTTTTGGTGACCGCAATATTTGAAATATCTGAATAGTTTGCTAAAAAAATTGCATAAGGTAAGACTAATTCGAAATTTTAATTTGAAATATTTCTCTTCTGTTATGTAACGGGAGTCTGCTGCCGGATTTTTATTTTAGTGGAATTTTATCAATTTGTTTAAATTGGGTCATACAAGATGGGCGAATGATTTCTTAGTACGGTCCTGGCTGTGTATGTATGTTTGAAGTTAACAGGAATTACGTGACAATTGCGGTCGGATCCTCCGTTATCGACCCTGGTACACAACATGTGTTTTGCTGATTTTGTAGAATGTTCAGTCAACGTGAGTTTGATATACCAGTCTATTTGAATTTCTGGAGATTCATTAGTTGACAAAAGGTTAGTTGATTGGTGGAAAATATTCGCATGATCAATGGAAGTAGTAGAAATGGAAATTTGGTAGACCTCCGAGGGGTAATGGGCGTTATGCCACGACAGAATTTGAGTATATCTGGAAAAAAGTGTAAGTCAACCACTCGTAAGTTCACGCGTGGTGGTGTGAAAATTCAGATTAAGTCGTGTGATCCGTAAACTAGTTCTCACGACACAATCAACAAAGCTAAGTCGATCACCGGTGAACCACTGTGTTATAGTTTTTATACGTAAAATTCGCGTTGATTAAATCAATCACCTTTATTAATTTACCTCAGGATGGATTTTTACAAATCTTGTGTAAATCGTTTTCGCGCATATAACTTAAACACTGTAAAGTAAACTACCTGCACGAAAGTTGCGTGCGTCGTCACTAGCAATGTACTTACAGGGTGGTTCAAATTCGTGGCTCACCATTGAGATCTCCGTAACGGTGAGATACAGTGTGGGCAATTTTATGACAAAAAAAACTTATTTGAAATTTTTGAAAAATCTCCGAAAAGCTGAAAATATATTTCGTTTTAATTTTTCCTAGTTTAAACGGTGACAAATGGACTGTCCCCGTTAGCGCCTTTTATGGGCACTTTTTTCGGAGCATCTGAATCTGTTTTTCCATCACACGCTAGATGTAGAAGCTACAGGCTACGATTTACGTATTTCTTATTGGACTTGTCACACTATACCAAGACCGGCCCACTGGTAGAAGTAGGTTCACTCAAAGTACTAGAAGTAGTAGTCGAAGTACTTGAAGTGGTCGTCTTTAGAAATAGTCGAAGTAGTCCGGAAAAATGAAGCTCAACGATGATCGCACATGCGCATATCACATGACTTTTGTCCGGGCGGTACAATAGAATTGATTACATTTACAGGAAAAATTTCAAAATCAAATGTTTTAGGTACAATCATTTCACAACAAAACATTCATGGACAAATAGATTTCGCTGAAGCAACATGGCTATGATGGCAATGCATTCAACTGAATTTCTTTTCTTGTCCCCTATCTTATTCTGTAGAAATCCAATATGGCGCCCATAAGAACTCTGCAAATAGTAGATTGTAAGTTCACAATTTTTCATAATTTTTTTCATTTTTACACATTCTCATGTGAATAAACGATAATATATATTTTACCATTTGTGACTTACTTTTTACGTATCTAATTTCTCATTGAGTCCACTTTTTTTTAAATATTTTTGATTCCCGCCAACCCAACCAACACCACTTATCTGCAACTGGAATAATATAATTATTTAAATGGAAAAAAGACAGACAACCACAATTTATAAAAATAGGTTATGTTTGAGTCAATTTACCATGTTGTCAAATGTCTCATTCGTAACTTTACGATGATCGCAAGAGCAGTTGCGGGATTGGTCAAAAATTGATGTTGTAGTTACCCTTCGCACCTTAGTACGAGCGTTTGCATAGAAACTATCCGTTTTCAAAAATCGACCCTTCTCCCCTCCCACATCCGAAGAACAATGCAAATTTAGAATCAAAACTTTTCCGCCCAAATTAACTGAAACCCAAGACACTTGATGGAACAAAACCTGCTGCTTACCTTATTCCATATACTTCGGCAATTCTGGACAAACTTGTAGTAGCAACATTTCTCGGTGCCATCAACAATCCCCGGGGGACGGTCGTTTCGATTCAAAAGAATGCCGTTCGGTTTAAGCAATGCTCGCGTAACATTTCAAAGATTGATTGAATGAATAATGGTATACTTAGAGGACGTAGTTGTCACATAATTTACCTTCTCGGATCATTTTAGAGTAATTATTATGAGAAGTCTTCGACAGTTCGTCGTGACAAATGCAACTTTTGAAATTCTATATACAAAAATTTAGAAAAATTTTGCAATTACATTTATTTGTCCGTCTTTATTCTCTTTTTATTGATGAATAGTACAGATATGGTTTCCATTTGCAAATTTCGAGTTTTTGGTCAAAAGCCAATTATCAACAATGATCGAGTATTCGTATTATTTTCGATATACATTTAAAAATCAGACCAATAACATTTGATAGCGTGGACTTTTAGCTGTCAATTCGTGACAACTGTCAAAATGTCAAATAACTTCGAAACCATGTCAGTTAGACATGGTCATACTGATTTTTTAGGAGGACTTCGAAAATTCCAACAAAAGAGATAGTGTTATTTGAAATAAGAAAGTTCCGGTTTCGTTCTGATACGACCGGAAAAGCGGCCATCTTGAAAATATTTTAAAATGATTCCTTTTGATCAATTATTCAAAAATTCATTTATTTTTATGTTTATTGAATTTCATAGTTAATCAGGGTGGAACTATTATCGAGGGCATTTCCTAAACATCCAAACCTTCTTTCTTTTTAGTCATTACCTTTTGCATCACCACTTCATCTACAATTTGCTTACAGCTAACACTGCTACACTGCCCCCTTCTTAAAACTGTTGAGTTGTATCTCCAATAGAATCTATTTAGCTGCTATTACTAAATCTAAATTAAGTAAAAAAAACAATTTATTCCTTGTAGTTGCTCTATCGATTAGATACGCAAAGCACTCTCTCGAAAATAGGGATTTATTTTTATGCTAACGCGCCTTAAAACGGAACATGAAAAGCTTAATTCCATTAGTCTCGACTTGACTGACTTTCTATCCATTCATAGTCACTAATTCACTTATGCTTGTTTCAGGATTCCGAGCTGTGCATCGCGATATCATTTTCAATGCAGTACGTGAGACTCTGCACCTTTTGTTGGATATTGGCGATGACTCATCATATGAATGCCCAATTTAAAAGTAATTTAAATCTTGTTCCGTGCGACGATCACGCAATTGGAAAACATTTTGTGAGGTAGGTAAAATTATGCGCAATTAGGTACAACTTGTTACATTAACGTCAAATTGCTTGCCGGAGAAAAAAATTAATCGCCCTTCACTGTTTGAATAATTTATCACGATTATCTCGATGACGTTTCACCCATCCCTCCTGTCGATTTTTGTATACTCCCGTCCGTTTGAATCTCGTCGATCAATCAATTTTCAATTTTGTTTACGCAAGGGGAATTTCAATTGTACTTGCGGATTTTAATTACATTCAATAATTCACACTGTACGTAGCTATACGAAATTTAGGTCAGAACAAGTGATACATAGATTTTAATTATTTTACAATCATCCGCAATGTCCAATTTAAATTGGTGAGTTGCGTACATTTGGGGTAGTTTTGTTAAACGATACTAAAGTAGGTACTCATGATAATTACGCGATTTTACTGTTATTCGCTTATTGGTACATGTCGATTTGTTACCCCATGTTTACTTACAATCGGTATTATACTAAAACCCTGAATTAGTTATTTAATTGTTTCAGATACTCACTGTTCGCATGGGGTATTCCGGCTATATTATTAGGTGCGAGCGTTTTCATACAATATAGGGATAAAGCTGGAAAGTTACTTGATACGGCGAGTTTAAAAACACACAATTGCTGGTAAGCTTTGTAACGTGAAGATTCCAAGTGAGAAAAGCATTTTTTTAGGTTTTTGGACACGAATGCTTTAGTATATGGCCTACTGATTCCGTCTACCGTATTAGTTATCATCACGCTCACCTACGTCATTCGGGGCGCCATCGTTGCGAGATATGTTATAAGTATGCAAGTTGATCGAAAAGTTAGGAATAAAATGCGAAAAAAAAGGACGCTCCAAGTGGTGCTCTTCACAAAGGTAAGCATAGGTTACAAGTGTGGGTACGCCAGACACTACCATAAGGACGTGTGTTGTTGGAGGGAGAAAATCACACGTCTTACACAGTAGAGCTATATACAGGGTCTTTCACGAAAAACGTTTTTAAACTTTCACATAAAAGTTATTCCGATCTAACGGAAATATGTTCAAGATGGCCAAACTTTAACCTAGACCGGAAGTTGGCACTATATTACTTTAACTGGCATGGCCATTTTTAATTCACTCTTTGTATTTAGTTTATTTTGGTTTCAAACATTAATATAACACATTAGATGTCTCGTCAGGAAGAATGCTAGTCACAAAACACTTGATACCGGTCTACAATACAGCATCGGGTGTGTCGTGACCGCCATTCTTTCCTTGCTAATCTAAAATTAGTAGATTTTGAGTAAAATAAAAAGTGTCTTGACTGGAAATTCAGCGCCATTGAAGACGTCTACGCTTTCTTCTATGCCGTCAACATCTACAAGGTGTGTGAAAACGAGAGTGACGCTCACGTGCTGAAGGGAATCGCCATGCTGTTACACGGCACCACAGGGACCTGGTGGCAAGGAATCAAGGACACCGTAAGCACCTAGGAGGGAACTACCACCCTCAGAGAAAACTTCGGCCCGACGCTGCTCGTGCACCAGATCCTACGCACCATCTTATCCACGATGTACGGGGAGAAAGAAGGCACAAAGCTATTTATTAGCCAAAAAAGAGCTATCATCTCAAAAATTCCTGGAAAACAACTCCAGAGGGAAACATTTCAGGTGAGCATGGTTTGCAGTTTGTCTTACTCCCGAAAATAAACGCCGTGCGACTATCCGAACCAGAGTCCAGACATTGAAAGACCTTATCGAGGAAGTCCGAAAGATGGATGTCATCCGAACTGAAGACCCGACAAAACCAACCGCCACTAACCCCCCTCGCTACGCGTACTGCCGTTTCAACGGGCATACGCAAGAAGAGTACCACAAACGGAAGAGGAAGGAAGCCATCACCTCAACCGCACCCAACAGAAAGCGAGCACCATTCGCCGCACACACCAGGGCTCCCGCCACCAATGGCAACACGAGCTACGGCTGCGGGGAACCTGGAGCAATTCGTAATATCTGCCCGAAGTGCACCAAAAAGACCGGCAGGCAGCCCGAAGATCTACGCTTTTTCCTCGCAGATCCAACTCCAATTGTGCAACACCGCCGCTGCTGACCCATCGTACAGATCGAAGTCGAAAATACATATGAAAACGCATCTCTGAACACAAGCCTTTGCCAAAGTGTCGGGGGAACCACGCCGTATGCTCTTTTCTGGGCTACAACTACAAGTTTAGCCTGCAGCAGATGAACTCGATTATCGCAGATGGAGACTGGATACGTGAAGTGACGTCCGGTTCCAGCACTGCGTTATCCAGACCCCATTCATAGTCCTACCAGCTGCCAACAACTGTACTTGGCCTCCTCGGTATGGATTTAATCGAGGACACGCAGCTCATTATAAACAAAACCTGCTGCGGAAAGAGTACAGTTTCCTGGAGCGGGTGCTGCACCCATGGAATGTTCCCTTCCATACGAAGCGGCACAGAACCACCTGCCTCGTATCCACGCAAACTGACCACCCGCATGAACCGACCCTTTGGAGAGTCACCACCACGCTCAACGATCCCACACTTGGACCCCGAATTTGCAGACTTGTATGACGAACTGTCCGTTGACTCGCTCGCTCACTTCCCGTAGTCGCTCCGTAAGGAGAAGCAACGCCACCTGGAGCGCCCAAACATTTGGATCGCTTCCCTCGAGTTAAGTGTAAAGACCAAACCTAACCATCAAGATAACCGGACGCTTCAACAAATTGCTGCACGATCACCATGTTTTCGGTGATAGTAGGCACCCCATTCCGTTCGGAGAGCACACAATATAGGTGAAACCTGGATCAGTTCAAGTCGGCCGAATTCCAGCACACAAATTTCACATACTACGGAGAAAACTCTCCGCCATACTTAAAAACATGTGATCTCAGAGTGCGACTCTGCTCCGGCCACCCCAGTGGTCCTGATCAGACAGGTCAATTCATCTCTGCGTCGATTACCGCAAGCTGAATGAAAGAAAACACGTCTCCGACTGCTATCCACGACCAAGAATCAATAACCTGCTTCATGCAGCAAAGGCCCGCTGCATTACCACCTTGGACCTTTGAGCAGGATATTGGCAGATATCCACGCATCCTAAAGGTAGGGACAAAACCGCCCTTGTAATGTCTTTGGATTATGCCGATTCAAGAGGATGCCGTTCGGACTGAAAAATGTCCCGCCAGTTCCCAGAGGCCAATGAACCGCTTCCGTATTGGGATACCGCTTCTAGCGTACCTAGACAATTTAATAGTTTTATCCAAGGATGCCGAATAGACCTTGAGAATCTGGATCAAGTATTTTGGCGACTTCTTCCAACTTTGAGTTCGTCGGCAAAGGGGCCATTTCGCCTGACAAGTCAAATAGATAGATAGTCATAGATCATGACGTTTATTATTATTATTGTCGGTGTTTCTTGTGAGAACTCAGGTCTAGCCTGGTTAACTAATCGCACGGATTAAAATCAAGTAACGATTAGTGTCTGTGTCTGGTGAAGTTATGTAGGGAGGGTTCTAAAGAAAAATAAAAATAAAATAAATATTCACACACTCACATTGGAAATCTAGAGATAGTATGTAATTCATACTTACCAACATAGCTATTAATGGCCCCAATAGTCAACGCTATCAGGAAAGAAGAAAACAAAACAAAAATATCATTATAATAATTCCTGTAATTTTATTAAATAGAGTTTATTGTGTAAGTGTTTCTTTGGCTTTGCGTTTGGGTTGAATACGAGTGGGTTGTGATAACGTGGTGTGTTTATGTGAAGAAGGAGTTTTGTGTTTTTTAATTGTATTTATGGTGTTTCTTTGTTCCTGAGGTCGTATTTGTGAGGTTGTTTGAGTTTTTGGTGGAGATATTGCAGTATTTTGTGAGCCTGTGGTGCTGTTAAGGTTTTTGCGCTTCGGTTGTATACGAGTGGGTTGTGACAATGTGGTGTGTTTCTGTGAAGAAGGAGTTATGTGTTTTTTAAGTGTGCTAGGGCGTGTAACTTTATTGGGTGGACCTGTCTTTGTAGTGCATGTTGCGTTACTTGTATTTATGGTGTTTCTTTGTTCTTGACGTTGTATTTGTGTGGTTGCTTGGGTTTTTGGTGGAGATATTACAGTATGTTGTGAGCGTGTAGTTCTGTTAAGGTTTTCGCGTTTCGGTTGAATACGAGTGGGTTGTGATAACGTGGTGTGTTTATGTGAAGAAGGAGTTTTGTGTTTTTTAACTGTGCTAGGACGTGTAACTTTATTGGGTGGACCTGTCTTTGTAGTGCAAGTTGCGTTACTTGTATTTATGGTGTTTCTTTGTTCTTGACGTTGTATTTGTGTGGTTGCTTGGATTTTTGGTGGAGATATTACAGTATGTTGTGGGCGTGTAGTTCTGTTAAGGTTTTCGCGTTTCGGTTGAATACGAGTGGGTTGTGATAACGTGGTGTGTTTCTGTGAAGAAGGAGTTTTGTGTTTTTTAACTGTGCTAGGACGTGTAACTTTATTGGGTGGACCTGTCTTTGTAGTGCATGTTGCGTTACTTGTATTTATGGTGTTTCTTTGTTCTTGACGTTGTATTTGTGTGGTTGCTTGGATTTTTGGTGGAGATATTACAGTATGTTGTGAGCGTGTAGTTCTGTTAAGGTTTTCGCGCTTCGGTTGAATACGAGTGGGTTGTGATAACGTGGTGTGTTTATGTGAAGAAGGAGTTTTGTGTTTTTTAACTGTGCTAGGACGTGTAACTTTATTGGGTGGACCTGTCTTTGTAGTGCAAGTTGCGTTACTTGTATTTATGGTGTTTCTTTGTTCTAGAGGTTGTGTTTGTGTTGTTGCTCGCATTATTGGTGGAGACATTACGGTATTTTGTGAGCCTCTAGTGCTGTTAAGGTTGCTGCGTTTGCGTTGAGTACGAGTGGGTTGTGATAACGAGGTGTGTTTCTGAGAGGAAAGAGTATTGAGTTTTTTAGCTGTGCTAGGCCGTGTAACTTTATTGGGCGAGGGCGTCTTTGTAGTGCATGTTGCGTTACTTGTATTTATTGCGTTTGTTTGTTCAGGAAGTTGTGTTTGTGTGGTTGGTTGAGTTAAGGGTGGAGATATTACAGTATGTTGTGTGTCATGTTGTGAGTCTAAAGTGCTGTTTAGGCTTTTGCGTTTGGGTTGAATACTAATGGGTTGTGATAATGTGGTTTGCTTCAGAGGTGAATCTCTGAATGTAGTATATGTTGTATCATTTGTTGTACTTGTTTGTTCGGTAAGTTGTATTTGTGTGTTTGTCTGGGTTAGAGGTGGAGATATTACAGTATGTTGTGTACCGTGTTGTGAGGGAGTGCTGTTGTTTACATGTATACGTTGTGGATCATTTCTGTATGTAGTATCTTGTGTTATGTTTAGAAATTTACGAACAATATGGCATGTGTTGATAATGACTGCTTTTTGTAAATGTTTGTATGTGTTTTTGTCCAAACCTAATAGTTGTAAATTGTGGTGTATTGTCTTTGGTATAACTCCGGTAGCACTAAGAATAATGGGAACTATAACAGTAGATTTCATTCTCCATTGCGTCTTAAGCTCGATAGCTATATCGGTGTATTTGCGGTGTTTTTCTGCATGTGTTTTAGTTAAGTTGTTAGTGTTGGGTATGGCAATGTCTATAATACAAATGGATTTTTGCGTTTTATCTATAAGTGTAATATCTGGTCTATTATTGTGGATAGTTTTGTCTGTGAGTAGTGTCCTGTCCCAATATAATTTGTGTGTGTTGTTTTCAAGTATGATGGCGTGTATTTGTAGTATGGTGTCTTATCTGTTATGAGATTGTGTTTAAGTGCTAATTTTTGATGTATGATTTTAGCTACCTGATCGTGTCGATGTTTGTATTCAGTTTGTGCAAGTCGTGTGCATGCCGATATTATATGTTGGATTGTTTCTGATGTTTGTGAACAGAGTCGACAAGAATCGTTTGTCACTGTTTTGTCTTTATGTATGTGTTTTTTATAGTTGCGTGTATTAATGACCTGGTCTTGTATTGCTAACATGAAACCCTCAGTCTCCGGAAAGATATCACATTCAGACAACCAAGTGTGCGTTGCTATAGAATCAACACAATCCTGACTAACCTCTTGCGGAAATCGTCCATGTAACGGCTTTTGGTTCCATGTCTGTATGTTATTTGTGATGTATGTAAGTTTGGATGGAGGTGGGAGTATATTAGTTTCGTGTAGGTTAAGTGGTGTGTAAGATTTGTCTGCATATGTTACTGTTTTGTGTAGGACTGAAGTATCTGTTTTGTTATAAAAGTATTGTCGGAAATTGTGTATTTGTGTTTGGTGCAATATTTTTATATCTGTAAGTCCTCTACCTCCTTCCGAACGAGGAAGGTAAAGTCGTATAGTAGAGGAGTGAGGGTGATGTATATGGTGTTTTGTTAATAGTGTACGTGTGTTTCTCTGTATTTGTTCTAAATCTGTATTTGTCCAACGTATAATCC